CAAAACAGGGGCCTTAATAATTAGAATAAGCTTTCGGGGTCAATATGGCATACTGGCTATCTATCTACTTATCTACCTATCCATCTATCTATATATCTATCTAGCCTAAGCCTCTGAGGCTGGGTCGTCATCTCTGGGTGCGTTGGGGTCCATCTCTGGCGGAACAGCGAGCTGCTGGACGAAGAGGCCTTGCAGTAGACTTTGCCGCTGGATCTGAAGCCCTAAACCCTAAATGTCTCTAAACCCTAAAGTCTCTAAACCCTCAGCCTGAACCCGTGAGCCCAAACTCCGCAGCTCTGCTGAGCCTCTCAACTCCGTAACCCCAAGCTCCTACATTCCACACTCCCAACCCTGCATGAAAATTGGAAGCTGCGTAATTGGGGTCAGAACTAGGTCCAAGTACCTTGGATTGGGCTTTTGGTCCCTAAACCCTGAACCCTAAACCCCAAACCCTAAACCCTGAACCCAAACCCTGAAACCTAAACCCTAAACCCTGAACCCTGAACCCTAAACCCTGAACTCTAAACCCCGAACCCTAAACCCTAAACCCTGAACCCTCTCTGGTGGGAACGGAGCCACTTCTTTCCTGCAGAAGCGGGACCGAGGCGGCTCTGCGGCTTTCAGGGGTTCAGGGCCTCGGGGCTTAGGAGTTTAACCTCGTGATATTGGGGGCCTTGGTAGTTACCTATGCTATTTTGGGGGTTCCTTACTATAATTATAGTATAAGCTATTTTGGGGGCTCCTTATTAGAATTATAGTATAATCTACTTTGGGGGCTCCTTATTGGAATTATAGTATAATCGGCTCCTTATTAAAATTATAGTATAATCTACTTTGGGGGCTCCTTAGTATAATTCTAGTATAATCTACCCCAAAACCCTATTCTAATTTCACAATGTGGGGGCAGAGTGGCAGAGAGTGCAGGACTATGTAGCGGGCTGCGGCATAGTTAGGCCGGAGGATGCGGGTCGGATGGACCGGCGAATCAACAGCCCACAGTCAGCGACGTACATTGAAGGTCATTCTCATTGCGTTTGAGGGTGCCGTTGCGATTATGAGGTTTCGGGTGTAATTACTGGTCCAAGGGGGATGCTCCAAGAGACTCTCTGTTCCGAGCTCTCCCCGCGCGTCCTGCTTCGATATCCTCTCAGCCCTAAACCCTACCTGTAGCCGTTAGGGTTCCTTACTAAGGTTTCTATATACACCTCCTTCAAAATGTCGGTTTGTTTGGGCCACAGGTACAGGCACTTCGCCCCACGCCCAATCCTCAGAGGCCGAACCCTGAAACCCTAAATCCAGCTCTCGCAGAGCCTCTTTTCAAGCCACAAAGACGTATTATAAAACAACCCTAAGCCCTAAACCTAGACTCTTCAACCTAAACCCAAACCCCTAAACTCCAAAAAAGGGCCCCTTAAGACTTCTCCAAGAGGTGCCCACGCCCCGCGACGCTTTCGAGCCCTCTTCCTTTGAGCTGAAGGGCGCGCCGAAGCACCAGCGCAGAAAGGCCCGGAAAGCCGCACTTCTCGTTTTGCTTTCGGGTTTTGTTTAGGGTTAGGGTTTAGGGTTTAGGGGTTTAAGGTTTAGGGTTTAGGGTTTAGGGGTTTAGGGGTTTAGGGTTTAGGGCTTCAGGTTTCCTCAGGGTCACTTTTGGGTACCAGTACCTTTTAGGACTTATTTCAAGCATCGGTTGGTGGAAGGGTTTGTCAGAGGGTTTCTCTAAGAGTTCGGGCTTGACGGTTTCAGGGTTCCAGGGGCTCAGGGCTTTTGCTCAGAGGTTTCTCTTCACTTCAGGCTTGACCAGGGCTTAGGATTTTCAGTCCGGCGTTCCGGGTTGAAGCGCTTCGAACTTGAAGCAAGCAACGTCAAACTTCACAGCGCGACCGCTCAAACCCTGAAGCCTTTCACGTTGAACCCCTAAAGCCCGAACGCCCTGCAGCATCCTTCCCTCTGGCACCGTACGGGCAGTTTGTAGCCGGAATTGGGATGCTTCTTTTACCCTAAACCCTAAACCCTAAACCCTAAACCCTAAACCCTAAACCCTAAACCCTAAACCCTAAACCCCAAACCCTCGAAGGTTGCAGAATGGCTTCTCTGTTTCGGACACGCAGGGCCCTGAACCCTAAGCCCTAACTTGGAGGTTCATGGGTAGTTATAAGTGGGGTTATGGGGTTCCTTTAAGGGTTCCTTTAAGGGGTTCAATAGGGTGTAGGGTTTAGGGTTTAGGGTTCATGGGTAGTTTTAAGTGGGGTTATAAGTAGGGTAACTGTAATTATAACCCATATTAGGGGACTTATAACTCCACTTATAACCACCCATGAACCTCCAAGAACTCTTGATGTTGCCTCCTTGCAGTCAACCTCGAAGTACCGGCTGGATTGGCTTCTTGAACCATTCCTAAACACTAAACCCTAAACCCTAAACCGTAAGGGCCTTCCCCTGGTTGCCCCAGCCAGTTTGCCCTGCAGTGGATCGGGTGTTCAGGAAGAGGAAATGTGGAAGTTAAGTATTGTCGGGTCGTAGCGCCTGTAATGCCTGTCATCATCATCATCATCACCACCATCACCATCATCATCGTCATCGTCATCGTCATCAGTATCGACGCATCACACCCCGTTCACGTGCAATAAGGATACCACCAAATGCGAAGAGAACCTTAGTGCCAGAATGGGAACGGGAGCGATTTGGGAGTTTCTGAAATAAGGGGTACCTTATTTTGGGGTCCTTATAATAAGGATCCTACTATTTAAGGTACTATATTAGGGTCCCCTATTTTCGGAAACCCCCATTTCTTTCGGAGGGGAAGCTGCGGAGCACTCGCACCTTTGCGGCTCTGCCGACGCATCTCGTGGAGGAGGCGCGCGGATTGGTCAGTTCGGGGCTTGTGTGCTCTTTCCGAGCCTCAGGCCTTAAGGCAAATCGCATTTCAAACAAAAGAACACATAGAGAAGGGAGAGAAGGCAGAAGAACATAGTGTAATTCTAAACGCCAGGGGTACTTGCAATTCAGCGGTTTATGTAAGCGGAGGGTTCGGGGTTTCGGGTTTCAGTACTGAGGGTTTGAGTATTTCAGGCTTTCGGGGTTTAGGGTTTCAGTGTTTAAGGGTTTCGGGGGTTTATAGTTTTGGGTTTTTCGGATGTTGGTTTGAAACCTGCGGGGTTTAGGGGCCTAAGGGAGTTGGCATCTCCTGAAATCCCAAGCCGTACACCCCTAGATCTCCAAACCCGAAGCCCCTAAACTCAGGTTCCCGGTCGTGGTCTATAGTGGGGGTTTAGGGTTTAGGGTTTAGGGTTTAGGGATTTTTTGAATACCTCCCTCGCAACGCGTTGAAACTCCACGACATTCTTGTCGTGCACATCCCAGAACTTCAAAGAACCTCTGTGCTCAACACGAGGGCTCAAACCCAGAAGTCCAAAAACTGTGCCACCTTGAAAGCCCAACTAAACCCTAAACCCTAAACCCTAAACCCTAAACCCTAAACCCTAAACGCTCCCAGGATCCCTAAACCTCGAAACCTTGTTGCGTTGGAGATTCCGGAAGGTCAAACCCCTACTTGGAGGTTCATGGGTAGTTATAAGTGGAGTTTTAAGTCCCCTAATATGGGTTATAATTATAGTTACCCTACTTATAACTCCACTTATAACTACCCATGAACCTCCAAGTAGGCACTGCGCTGTAAAGTAAAGCCCAAACTACGGAAACCCCTGAACCCCTAAACCCTAAACCCTAAACCCTGGACCCTAAACCCTAAACCCCTAAACCCTAAACCCCTAAACCTTAAACTGCTAAACCCCCAAAACCCCTAAACCCTAAACTCACATGCCAATTGCAGCCCGCAGACCCGGATCCCAGACCCTGCAGGAAGAGCCGAAAGCTGAGTCGGCCAACCCTGCGTGGCCCAGCTTGGTTAGATGTGGCGCTAGGCCAAGGTTTCGACATCGATAGCTTAGCTGCACCGCTACGATGGCGCCGACTTGTGCCACTATGGCAAGAAGAATGTGTGTCATGATAATGATAATCGAGATGAGCATGTTCGTTCTTAAGGAAAATTACGCATTCAACCGGTGTTGTAAGTCGTCGTAGTGGCAGCAGCAGGGGGAAGAGGGGCTGAAGAATTGCTGCTGGTAGTAGAATTCATAGTCGCAGTAGTAGCAGTTGCAGTAGCAGTAGCAGTGGGAATAGGAGCAGCAATAGCAGCAGTAGTAGTAGTAGTAGTAGTAGTAGTAGTAGTAGTAGTAGTACTAGTATAGCACTACTAGCAGTAGTAGTAGTAGTAGTAGTAGTAGTAGTAGTAGTAGTAGTAGTACTAGTATTATTATTAGTCGTAGTAGCAGTCGGGGTCGTTGCTGTCGTCGCAGTCATCACAGGTCGGTGCCGTCGCCTGGAGATGGACATAGCTCGGCCTGCATGAAACTGTATGCATCAGAGTAACTGGTAGGCGACTCAACAGCAACATGGTAAAAGCTAGAGACTGAATTAACTGAGTATTGAACTGTAAACTCTAACTCTGTGCTGACTGTGCTGATACGCAAATTATCAATCCACCAAGGGGGACACCCAGTGGTGGCAACAAGCGGATGCTGCTCCCTCGGTCGCAGAACCTGGGCAGCACGCTGGACAATCAATCTCGTGTGTGCGTGAGAACCTGTCGTTCAGGACCTCGTTTTCTTTAGGCTTTTCCGGCGTTTGGGCACTGCAGTTGGGATGCCGCGCAACGCTGCGAAGACGGCAAAGACGTCTGGAAGAGTCGCACAGCCTGTTTGTTATCTGATGAGGCTGTTGGAAGCCCTGAGCAGCAATCCATTTGGTAAATTCTTGCAGGGTTGCGATCGATCTCGCATGTCCCAGTCAGTTGCGTATCCTGACATCTTGTAAGCCGAGTTGAAGCCAGAGCTAGCCAATGCCCATGGCCCCTACCTCCTTTCGTAGGCCAAGACAAAACCCTGGACTTTGAACCTTCAGCCGCAAACCCAGACTGACAACGCGAAGCGACGGCCGAGACCATGGTCACAAACTTGAAGTGCTTGGAGGCTCTAGAGGGAGCTTTTAACTTGCCCGGGCCCGCGCGGAAACATCACAGTATCCCTTCAGCGTAACCTTGACAGCAGCCCTTACGAGCAACCTTAGAAGTAGCCCTTAGTTCATTCTAGTTTTAAAAGTAACCCTAAACCCTAGACCCCTGAACCCGAAACCCTCAACCCTTAACCCCAAGCACGAACCCTTAACTCGCCCTTTTTGGCAACATGTAATCTCAGACCAGAGGCTGCCAAGGAAGTGAGTAGTTCTCCAATTTTAGGTCCCCGGGAGGTCTCCGGATTCACGGGAAGCTCCATGCTGCGGTTAAGGGTTTAGGGTTTAGGGTTTAGGGCATCGTCGCACATCTCGTGGGAACTTCCCTCTCGCGGTATCTCTTCCTCGCACGAGCAAAAACTTCGTAGTGTGGCTCGCCATGTCCTTTTGCACAGGCTTTGTGGCTGGATGGCATCCGGGCCATCCCACAAAGTACATACTTCGCTGTGATTCTACGTCTCTTCCGTAGGATCGTTCTGGTAATCTGATAGGACCTGGGTGCGACAATGACTTGCGACGTAGTCGATGCACAGCTCGCAGTCATGATGCTGCCAGTCTAGATCCCCTGGCGACGTCGGTGGAGGCTACCACGGAGTGCCATGTGAAGCCTTTTGCGTTGCATTTCTATGGCTAAACCAGTCGGATGTTGGCGACAGCCTTGCAAAAGCCGGCTGCGTTGTTTGTCTGAAACTCCAGCGCAGTGCATTTCCTTGCCACCTGTCGCGTGAACTGCCATTGTGCTTGCATCCACGACCTGCGCACAAGGTTTCGAGCACCATGTAACCCACCCTTACAATAGCACCACAGTCCTTGCAGCATACGTTTTGTGGCTCCCTCCAGCGTGAGCTGCCGAGGACTAGCGAAAGCATGGATGGGAAGGACGGCAAGGGCAAGGACAAGGACGTGCCACGGCTCCCTGACCCATCAGAGCTCTGGTAGAGAGTTAGGCTGTGGGTTCGCCAGCGGTCTGTCAGAACACTCAAAACCAGACCTTATGCCCAAACCCTACACCCTAAACCCTGCGCTTTTGCACTTGTGTGGTGGGAAAAAGGGTGTGCAACCAAAAAACCCTAAACCCTAAGACTAAGGGCATGTAAGCACCTAAACCCTCAACCCTAAACCCTAAAAGCCCCAAGCCTTACAAACCCTAAAAACCCTAAAAACCAAAAACCCTAAACCCAAAGCCCTGAGCCCTAAACCCTTTAAAAACACGGGGTCCCCAGACTAGGTAGTATTATTAGTGGTACCCCTTAAAGGGTACCCCTTCTGAACCCTACTTCTGGCTCTCTTAAAAGGGACCTTATTGAGAGCGTCTATATCCCCAAGGGTCCCCCTAATCCTAGCTCCCACAGACATCGAAGGTATCGGAGCTTCGAAGGCTTCAGCACCTACACAAAGAAGTCGATCCTCGGTGTGCAGGCGCCCGGTGCCTTGGGTTTTAAGGGTTTGGGGTTTAGGGTTCAGGGTTTAGGGTTTAGGGTTTTTAGGGTTTAGGGTTCAGGGTTTTTAGGGTTTAGGATTTAGGGTTTAGGGTTTAGGGTTTAGGGTTTAGGGTTTAGGGTCTATCAAAGCTTTGCCAATGGTTGCGTAGTAAATAGGGGCGTAAGCTCTGCGGCCCATTCGGGCCTAATGGG